CAGCCACAGCCAATGATGCAGAAAGCAGGAAGATCATGGGGCAGTGGAAGCAAAGTCACGTGGATCCAAGGTAGGTAAAAACATGGCAGGGCTCCAGCAGCTCTCAGGGTCAGTGGCAGAAAGTGAGAGAGGGAAGGTCCCTGCCTCACATACTTAGACCATCAAGGAATCATCAGGCTGTGACTTGATCAACCGGCTAAACTCCACCCATATATTCTAACAGGTGCCATGTAAACACAAGAAACGTAACTGTCACAGACGCATATTAGGGAAGAACAATACCTGGGAAAGGACATTATGCTTGGTGAAGTAGCGGATCAGAGAATGAGAGATAAACCCTCAATGATATGGATTGAAACAATGCCTGTAACAGTAGGTTCAGACATAGCACTTATGAGGATGACAGCAGATTGGGCATTGTGTCATTCTGTTAGACATAAGGTCGTTATGAGTTGTAGCCAACCCGAGGGCACCTAACAACGACATAAAGCAGGGACAATAAAATACTACTAAATAAAATATTTTTGAGACTCAAATAGAGTAGCCTACATGTAGTTAGTGTTCATGTGGTTTGCTTTTCACACTCTGTCTCATGCTGCAAGGTACCCAAAAGAAGGCACAACAATGAAGCCTCAGAGTGAAACGATGAGAACACTAAAGATTTGCGGGTTGAAGGGGTTTATCTAATTCCTGATCATCAGAAAAATGTGAATAATACCTACTTTCTATGAGACAGAGAAACTGGCTCCAGTACCAATAATGTCCCACTTAAGTTCTTCTAGAATTTAAATAGGTAATCAAAGCATTATTCTTAAAGTGGGTCTTTGGACACAGAGCTAAAGATAGAATTCTTATGCAAGTGCTTTATTAAGGGAATTCCTCTAGGAGAAACTATAAAGAAAACGAGAGGATGAAGAACCTAAGAAAAGATGGTGCCATCGCAAAAGAAGGTGAGCCTCAGCCTTAGCCCATGGGAGCTCTGGACAATGAGTTGTACTATAAAGGTTAGCCTAGGGGTTTCATTTTCAGCTCTGATCTGCAAGGTCAGCAGTTTGATACCACCAGCAGCTTCAAGGGGAAAAGATGGGGTTTTTACTCCCATAAAGAGTTAATTCTCTGTAATTCACAGAGACAGTTCTAGCCTGTCCTACAGGGTCACTTAGAGTTGGCACTGACTCGATGGCAGTGAAGTGTTTTGGGGTTTGCTTTTTAACCCCACACCTCACACGAAAGGAGGTTTGTCTGTCATACTTTGCACCAATCAGTATGTGTTTGTCCAGGATGACTAGAAAAACAAATTAATAGACACTCATGTATATAAGAAAGAGCTTTATATAGAGTAATTGTATGTTAAGAAAACATCTCAGCTGAGCCGAGTCCATAAGTCCAATATTAATTAGCCCATATATCGTACGCTAATCTATAATTTCCTCTTCGGACTCATGCAACACATGTAATGACGCAGAGTTCAGGAAGATCACAGGCCAGTGGGTGGAAAGTCTTGTGGATCCAGTGGCAGTGGAAGCATCTCAATGCTGGTGTGGGTCTCCATGGTGGCTGCTCCAGCTCCAAGGCTCTGGCCACTATCAGCATATCTCCATGTGGCTTGTCAACAGGAATATCTCGCAGGGAGACAGACAGAGTGTGAGTCTGGTCTCTAGTGAGCTATTTGGCTCCTTTCTGTTTCCAAATGAGGTCAGCAAGCTTCGACCTGATTGACAGGCTAGACACCCTTCCACAAGTTGACATTAATTGGGTGCACCAATTTGACATAACCTAACCTGAGGGGCAGGGGGCAGTACTGAGTTCATCTTTTGGTCTCTTGCATTTATAATTTTCAATGACTGATAAAACTCAACTTAAGTTTGAAGAAAGAGAAACTGTTAGTGGGGTTTATCAAATGGGACTTGGTAGAGCACCAGATAGCATCTGCTACGAATGACATGCTATCATTTCCTGGTGTGCAAAGTTTGGGGAGACAACTCTTAGAAGATAATTTTATATATAACATGCTGTCATGTAAAAGATAATATGGCTTTTAAAAATGTTCAAACTGTCTAACTCATTTTTAAGAATAATGATCGAAATTGCACAAAAGTAATAAGAACTGATTCAGCAGCTACTTAAAAAGGAGTAAAGCATTTGATGAATCCCACTGGCAATTGCAGTTTTTTCAAGCTTAAGTTGAGCTTTATCAATCGTTGACAATGATAAACCTGAGAGACAGAAAGATACATTCAGCCCTACACTCAGGATAAGGCATGTCTCACAGATGAATCAGGCCCAGTGTAGAGAGTTTAACAATTTTTTTTTAATTCACAATTTAGTAATTTCACTATATAGCTGTGAAGATGCCCAGGAGAGCCACTCTCATTGCAGTTTGTTTTTAAAGAGAGCAGCATAGGGAGAGAGAAAAAAGAGAAGTCGGATTGCTTCTACATGCAAAAATAAATTTGAAGTAAACAGCCATCTCAATTGTGTTATTATTTTTAAGTATTTACACAGGATATACCCTGTACTGGCTATGAATAGTTTTTTCTAGATGTGTATTCCTTTAACAATGTATCATAGGGGTGTTTGCAAACAGGGCAAATGAGGCATCTGTGCAGATCATTAAGTGCATGCTAACATATTCTTACTTGCTGAAAACCAGGACTCAGCATGATGAAGTTCAAAAACATCCGCCTTTAATATGTTTTAGAGCTCAACAGAAGGAAAACTAATATTCTCACAACTGGAACAATGAACCATCTCATGATAAATGGGGAAAGGGTTGCATTTTTAATGGATTTTATTATACTTGGGTCCACAATCAACGCCACGGAAATCAAATGATGCAGTCAAGAAATCAAATGATGTATTGCACTGGGCAAAGCTGCTGCAAAAGGGCTCTTTGAAAAATATTAAATATACTATGGGCTGTCTGGAGACAAACCAAACGTGGAAGAAATACATCCAGAAAGCTCCTTAGAAATGAGGCCAGCGCGACTAGTTTCAGGGGCTTAGGACCTGCTCTAAGGAAAGGCCACTTTCTGGGAAGGACATCATGTGTGGCAAAGCAGAGAGAGGGTCAGTGACAAGGAGGACGACGACCCTCAGGAAGATGAACTGACCCAGTGGCTGCAGTCCTGGGCTCAAACATGCTGGTTGTGAAGATGGTACTGGCCCGGTCAGTGTTTTGTTCTGCTCTACATAAGGTTCTCTAAGTCAGAACCGACTCAGTGCCGCCTCGCCATGCCATAGCCAGGATGTACCGGGGTGTTTGCTTCAGGTGGATAAGGATTGCCTTTTCCTTTTCTCTTCAACAGATACAGAACAAACGTAGAGGAAGAAATGATGCACCGAAGATTACTCGTTTTCCATAGGCTTGTTGTTGCTTTGGACTTGATTCGGCTCCACCAAGAATCATGGCGGTGGTTTAGGGCTGGACATCCTTATGCTAAACCTTGGCATGTTTAAGCTGTTGATGAGCTCCTTCCCCACGGGGGTCCATCTTCTAGCACTGTATCCGACGATGCTCTCTCGTGATCTATCTAGATTATCAGTGGTGATATTTTAGAAACGCATTGCCACATCTTTTTTCGAGTGTGGTAGGCTTGATGCTCCATGGGAACCTGCCACCTTGAGTGATCCTGCTGGAATTTGAAATACTGGTGGCATCACTGCCCACATCATAGTGACATTCAAACCACCAGAGTTTGACAAACTAAATGAGTGGCTGTGTTAGGCTGGGTTGAATAGAGAAACAAATCCATAGAAACACTCTTATGTGTATAATAAAGAGGTCTATATACAATAGTAATTGAATATTGAGAAAACATCCAAGCCCAGTCCAGATCAAGTCCATAAGTCCAATATTAGCTCATACGACTGATACCAATCTATAAGGTCCTCTTCAGACTCATGTGACACATGCAATGATGCCAAATGCAGGAAGATCACAGGCCAGTGGACTGGAAGTCTTCTGGATCCAGTGGTGGTGTAAGCATGCCAGCACCAGCAGAGGTCTCTGGATGGCTTCTCCGGTTCCCAGGGCACAGTGCCTATCAGCATAGCACGCATGTGCCTTGTCAGTAGAGCAACTCCAAGGGAGTGAGCAGAGAGATAGTGTCTAAGAAGGAAAAATACAGGAGTTCCCAGAATTCTCTGAAGGCCATGCCCATATGGAGGCCTCATTGGTTATATCTTGAGTGACAGGCCAGACTCCACCCCTTCACTTACAGTACTCTCACATTGATACCAGATTATATAAGTACCACAATGGCGGTCTGTAGGGTTAGGTATAGTATAGGTTTAGTGACTTTTCTTGAGACAATTTGAAATATACATGTTAGAACTCTTAGACACTAGTTCACGGCTCCCTAAGGAAATTTTAGAAGTGAGCGGAAAAAAGATTATTTATGTATGTGAACTAAACACGTAAAAGAAAGAGAGTAGTAGCAGACAAAGCATTATTTAGATGCCCTACAGGGTCTTAAGCTAAAGCATACGTAAATAACTAAGAGAGTGTCAGGAGGAGGACTGGTGTACAACTGAGTCACAGCTAGAGGAGAGTAGCTAAGGTGACTGACCGTATCCTCTCCAGATGCTGACCCAAGTGGGGACTCAAATGCCTCTATTATAGATCTAAATCATTTTACGTTATGCAAAATGTTGACTCAGTGGGTTCCACTTGTTATGTAGGTAATGTATTTGAGCACTTACTATGGAAATCCTCATTTTGCTCTCCCTTCATAGGAGAGTGGTTTCTACACAAGTTCTTCCCAGGTGCTCTGTCACCCACTGCAGCTGTCCTCAGTGACACGGGTGAAAGAGCAGAGAGTGTGGGAGAAAGGGAATCTAAGACGGTTGTTTAATGTCTCTCTACCTTGTTTAATGTTTAAGGTCTCTCTACCTCGAGCTGCATCCCGAGCAATGGCACTGCCTGTGTCCCCCACAACCTAAGCTCCTTCCTGAAATTCTGCCATGGTTCCAGCCTTCATCAGGTGACCCTCGCTCTGAGTTATGGCTACACCACATCTTCCCTCTGTTTCTCCAGCCTCAGAATGAAATCAGCTTCTTTTTCATTGGAAATATCTGGATGAATAAGAAATTAAGTTGGTACGCATGGAAGGAAAGAGTCTGGTGGGAGGAACAGGATTTTGAAGGGAATATCCATTGATTAGAGGAAGGCTTAGGAACAACCTGAGATATGCATATGACACAACGTTGCCTGCTGGAAGTGAAGCAGATTTGAAGAACTTGCTGGTGAAGATCAAGGATTGCAGCCTCAGTATGGATTACCACTCACTCTAAAGAAGATCAAACACCTCATAATGATGAATAGGTACCATCATGATAAATGGAGAAAAGGTTGAAGCTGTCAAAGATTTTGTCGGTCTTGTTTGAAAGTAGATTACTAGGAGTTCCCTAGCTAGCCCAGAAAAGGGAAATCTCAACCTTGTCTGGGTTTGTCCTTAGAGGAAGCTGGGGTACCAAGGTCACTAGTCTTGAATTATACTCCAACCAAGGTGCTCAGAAGGCCCAGAATCAATCCTGTAAATTTTTCTAATCAGCAGTAGTGTATGTGTTACAATCACAGTCCCTTTCCAACATGTGTTGTCCTTCCCGGGACAGGGATGAGTTGATCTGTCACCAATTATAATTTTGTGATAATTTCCTTAGTTTTCCATGTTCTTTAACGATCCATGTAACTAACTGTGAATCCTTTGGACACCATTATGGCCTATGTTGACGGTCTCCATCATCCAAATGATTTGTCTTTGGCTTTACTCTGATTAAGACTTATTAAAGGGGTCTCTGTAAATACAATTGAATGTGGAGGTCTTTTCCCCCTAGAATATGGCAAGCACACCAACCTTACACCAACCTAATTGCAGTGGCATGAGCTAGTTGACAACAAAGTTATTTGCATTGCTTAATAAAGCCTTGGGCTTTTTCTCATTTGATATGTGAGTGGAATTCACACACAAAAATAAGAACAGATGCTTTTATCTAAGTTGTTTGGTAAGAAGTATCTAACAAACAATGTAAACGTGTTATTGATTCAAGTGCATTAATTGGTTTGGTGGTTTTCTATATCATGCGTTCTACTTACAGCAATCATCTTGAATGAAGTAAAATGCTCTTGAATCTTTTATACCCCATGCTAAAAATCAATAGTCCAAAGAGGGCAGTGTTTTGCAAGTATTTGGATAAAAGGAAAAGTCATCAGAATAAAAACTATAAATGTTTTTTGTTGTAAACACTTCTGTATATTTCTAGTATGTCTAATCTCTTGTTTTTCACTTGTAGCAAGATTGCATTTTTGGCAAAATTTAAAAGAAGAAATACATAAATTGGAATCTGGGAGCTCAAATGAAATCCTCATTTAAAAACTAAGTCATCACTTATTCATTCACCCATTCACTCACTCATTCATGCATTCATCCCATTCCCTAAATAGTAAGGATTTACTGCTTCTAAATCAACATTCTTGGCACTTGATGAAGAATAATGAACAAAGAAGAGTCTTGGTTCTTGCCAGTTTAGTCAGGAGACAGTAATTAAACACAAATAAAACCAACTGCCATCTAGTTGACTTCCACTCTGGTGACCTCATGTGTTAGGGAAGCGCTATGCTCCACAGGGTTTTCAGGGGCTCATTTTGAGAAGTAGATTGCTAAACCTTTGGTTGGACATGGACCTTAAACCAGTGGTGTGATTCAGCCAGTGTGCATGGGTTCAGCAGAACCAGTACCTAATATTTTGGGGGTGAATTCAGCAAACCTGTGGTTATAAAATGACACTTATAATCAGGGCTCTGATTATAAGGTGGATAGCTGGGCAGCTGACCAATGTGGAAATCACAAATTTATATTCCTTATTCTTTTCAAACATTCATCTGCATAACAGCCTATTCTAAGCACCCTTAGTAGTGTTCATAGCTCTAAACAATTAGATGGCACTATGCATGTAATATTTATTAATTTTATAAAACTTGTTACACTTTTGATAAAATAGTCCATTTTAATTCCCTTGCATGTGTTACTTCCCTAAGCAAACGTAAAAGGTAAAGAGACAAAATGCCAAACAAGCAGACGGGGACAGACTATCATTTGTTTCAACGTTGTGTTATGACCCGCATTCCCAAGAGATATTATGAGTGAATTGTTAATGGCAGCAATCATAAAGTGTGATGAATTTTATAATAGAAAAGTCCTGAGTGAAATTTTGGGTAGGGGCACAGAAAGACCTCAAAATACTTCATCTTAAGACTCACAAAAATGAGTAAAAGCTGCCAGGTTGAGTGGGCTTGTGGGGTGGAATAGGAAATGAAAACTATTATTCACATGACAGCGGCACCTGCAAAGCTCTGGAGGGTTTTGAGCCTGACTGGTAGAAATGCTGAAAGAAGGCCAGAGTGGCTTGGTCAAAGATGGCAAGGGGAAGAAGCCGAGGACACAGTTGGAAAGGAGGCCTGGAGGTGGGTTTTTCTGGACCTTGCAGGGAAAGGAAAGGAATGCAGATTTCATTCTGCATTCAATGGGAAAAGGCATTGAATAACCATGCAGAAATAACCATGTGTGACCCCCAAAGGTAGGCTGTCAGAGAAGATGCTACCTTGTCTTTGCATGTTCATGGATCACGCAGTCCGAAGGGAAGTGTCATGAGGACTCTCGAGCGGAACTCTGGAACTCTGGAGAGGTTTTGAGGGAAGAAACAGAGGCCTCTCACCAATAACCTGTACAAGTTGTAAAGAAGCTCTCTTTGCAGTAGCCCCTCCGAGCCCCAACCAAGATTTGCAGAGCCCTGTCCAGCATGTTGACTCTCCCTTCATGAAAGATCCCTGGGCAGAGTTATCCAGTGAAGTGACCCCAATGTAACAAACCTACATGGAAAAGGATGGATTTTAAAGTACACGTTGGAGGCAGACTAGGTAAGATATGATGATTTGAATATGCGTGAGGTATGGGTAAGTGGCTTGTTCTTCTGAAGATAAGGCATCATAGAGTAAGGAAGGAGCTGAAAAGGAGCGTATAGGAGTTCAATTGTCTATAAATATTAAGGGTGCCTAATAAAACTGTCAAGTGGACAAAGCAGCTCGAAAAAGAACTCTGAGGTGTAAATTTGGGGACACTGATTTAAAGATAGCATTTCGAATCCTGGGAATAAATTATATCAACTCCAGAGAGATGATAATTATCTCTCGGGCGGTAATCTGGGTCCTCTCATGGTGGAAATCTAGAAAGGAATGGCTGGCATACAAAAGGGAGGGAGAAATAGTAGCATTAGAAAATGGAAGAAAATACGGGACATGATGTCATGAAAGGCTAAGTAATAGAATTCTGCAAAACAGAGGAAGAAATCAATACCAGAAATTGTGGAAAGGTTTAAAACAACATTGAATGACTAGTACATTCATTTCCAAACTGGACTATCCTTTGACTCAAGTGCAAAAGAAACTTTTGGGTTATAAGATATCTAGATTTGTGATAATGACTCTATGGGGTTAATATACATTCAGCAATTGCTATATATCACACTATAAAACAGTAATATGCTAAGATAGTGCAAATGATTAATGCATTCAGGTGCTGTGGTTCAGTGAATTACGTGATATGCTTCTTCTAGTTATGATCTTTGTAACTCTCTCCAAACAACTTTTTTCCTGGTGTATCGGAAAGAGAAGGTAGGGGAAGACAGAATTAGATGATTCAATTGTGAATGATATCTAATATAGCTAATTGTGATTTAAAAACATAAGACTCTTACCGTGCAGACTTGTCATATGTTGCCACTCCGCTGGGTACAAAATGAGCCATCTCCGCAGCAGAAGGGGTGTCTCATTACCATGAAGAAAGCAGCGTCATCAGAAGTGGGTGCATCCTTTGGCCCTTGATAGCCCTGCCCGTGGATACCCAAGGTCCAGGGACAGAAAGCGAGGACACCAAAGCAGCCACAGAAACGAGAGCGGGAGCCCGAGACAGAGTGGTAGCCTTCCCAGCCTACTGGGTAAAGCCCAGGGCTTTGGGGCAGGAAGCTTGTTTGCAGAGTGGGGGGTCTCCAGCATCTAATTGTGGAGCTAAGTTCACTGACGCAGGAAGTTAGAACTGAGAGTCTCCGAACTGAAGATTATGGAGTGAAGTGCCCTTTGGGCAGTTACCAAATGAGCTTAGGTGAGCAAGACAGAGGTCAAAGGGCTGTCTGACTGAGAGGCAATGGACCAGAGAGAGAGCAGTCTGTGGGCATGGCTGGAAAGAATTTGTCCTGAAAGAAGTGTGTTCTAAGCATTTCTGATCCTGAGTTATTTTCCCTAATAAAGCTTATACTTGTGAATGTGGTCTATCAGTTCTGTGTAGCCCTTACAAAATGAGTTGAGAACTTAAAACATGCAGACTAATCAACTACAAATCATATATTTGGTTCAAGTAACTGATTGTACATGAATCTTTAACAATTTAAAGTTACTTTGCACATGCACAATAAAAACCGTAGTGGATAAAAGCACAGCTGATCTCCTTTTGAATCAATTAACTCTTTTCAACAGATTAGCTCAATTCTTGCCAGTGCAACCGTGCTCTGAGAGGGATAGTTGCTGTCAACAACTATAGTTGTCAAAGGAATAGTTGATAGTTGGTGTCAAAGGAATCTCTCTTGCCCTCAGGCGGGATATAATTCTCCCTTGTGGAGTCACCAGGTCAGATGATAGTCCTCTTCCCGATTCCCTTTTTACAGCTGATAACTGGAAGGTTGGATGTTTCAGACTACCCAGAGATCCCTCAGAAGCCTGGTGGTCGATTTCTGAAAAGCCACCCATTGAACACCCAAGGGAGCACAGTTCTACTCTGATACCTATGGGGTCGCCATGACTCCCTGGCACGATTCGCTCCCTGGCCATTGGTGTAAAGTGCTAAAGGCACAAGGGCACTCACAATGCTTGTGAGAAAATCCCACGATCTTGTCATTTCACTTTCTGCAAACATTTTGAAACCACCACTTTCATGGAAGTGTAAAGGGGTATTTGTTCAGTGTTCAATAATTTATGTAATTTAGGGGAGATTTAATCTTCTGGCCCCAAATTGGACCATACAGTTATTTATAGAAGTGTTTCTAATGACATGAAAAGTAATGATATTCAAGATTATACATCATATTTTTGGTTCGTGGCAACTGATAACAAAAATCTATAATAACTTATTATTTTGCTCAAAAAATTATCATGGATGAAAGCACAGCTGATCGCCTTTTCAATAAATTAACTTTGGACCTACATGCCAACTAAACTTCAGTTCTTGACAATGCAATTGGAACTATTTCATAAATATTGAAGTGTTTAGTTTTAACTTAATAAATATAATGTGGATTTAAAGAAAATTAAAAATAATGTTCCAAAATAATGATTCATTTCCCTGTGTTTTTCAGACACTTATGCTTTACCTATAAATATTTACCTGTATAAATTATGACTAAATCTATTTTTTTTTTTTGCTTCATGGAAAAATGTTTGCTGAATATGTGGGATCTTAATCTCTGATGTATTATGTACTGAAGGATAATAGATTTGGCATCAAAAATGGACACTTTTATCCCATTAAAACCAACTGCAAACCCCTTGAACTTGGGCTCCAATCCCAGCAGAGGAGACTACAAGCACACTGAGCTTTCCAGCATTCTAAACCACAATGCTCAGTGTGTTTATTTCCAGAGATCATATTTTCCCCCTTTAAAAGATAGGCCCCAACATTTATACTGCATTCCATGAGTTCTCAAAATAATATCTGAATGTTTTAACAATAAGTAGGATTTGATTAAATTCTGTAATCTCGGTAGAGATTGGTTTTAATAGTTGGTTATTTAAATTATAATTATGTCATTTATTTAATGTAAAAATGTATTTAAGTACTATTTCCTTTTTTATTATAAAAGGAATACATCAATCTCATACAGGAAAAAAAAAAGCAAATGAGAAGGAATAAGGAAAATATCACCTATTATTTCAATTCTAGAAAGAACACTGCTCACCCCTCAGACAACTGTGTTGCATTCTGTGGAACACACTGAGTCGGAGCCAATTTGACAACTCCATTCAACAACTGACTGCTTGGTGTTAGGCTGCTAACTTCTAGGTCTTTGTTTCAAAATCATTGGCTGCTCTGGGGGCCAAAGATGAGGCTGCTTGCTTTATAGATTTATAGTCTGGGCCTTTCTGTATGGTGTCTTTGAGTAGCAATCCGCTTGACGACGGTACGTT